TAAGCATCACGTTCGTACTGAACAGCTTCCAATTGACTTGGTTCGGTCGGGAAGTGTGTCTCGTAGCGACGCGTGTGTCCTGTCCAAGCGCCTGGTGCATGCTGCTGCTGAGGATGATGCTGTCGAGGGTCAGAGGGCCCGTCACCACGGGTACTACTACCAATGTTGCTGGCTACTTGTGCATGCGAATTGTATACTCGCCTAGAAGCAGTATAACACAAAAACTCTCAATAACGCTGTTTCAAGGAAATAATAGGCGGAAACAGAAAATGACAAGCCCAAATATCGTTTCTTCAATTTTCAGCTTTTTGGAAACTCTGTTGATTCTACTAAACGCGTAAGCTGTGAAACAACTGTAAGTGACAACCAGTTACATACATTTTTTTGAAAATCATTTCTTAAAGCACTCCTCCCGGGAAACGTAACAATTTCGCAGCAGTATGCAAGACTCAGATTTCTCAGCTTGTTTTAAAAAAATGCTAAAACAGTTCGACATTTATGAAATTTAGAAAGAGAAGTATTACCAAGATTACCAGTCTAACCTCGTAGTTTGAAATCACACGCATTTTAAAGAAGATGGGGTTAATTCTTCCCTTTTCCTGCTCTCACTCACTGAATCTTGTAAGAGGAACATTCACTGTGATTAGGCACAGCTTACCTCACCGGGATGTCATAGTACTGTTGCCGAATTGGTGGCATGCCGTCTAGATTGTCTCCAACCCTCACACAAGTAATGTTATTAGGTAGCTGAACCACCTGCGTTTCAATCTGTAATGCATAAAATTTACTTCTCTAACAACCGTTCAAACTCCAAATGCCAAAATAAGCAGCAAAATATAGCGCTTTTTAGGCCTCAAGTAGAACTTGTGGAACAACTACTGAAAAATCACTAAAACACATGTCACCCGTTAAAATCCTGTATTCGCTTATACACAAGGGCCGTTGCTTTCGCAGTACTAGTTTGCTGAGGAGCAAAACATAAGCAGCCCGTGCCTAGCATGGACACAACAAAACTAGTATTAAAAAAACTGCTTGGATTGTCAGCATGGAACTCCGATATGACAGGAAAAGCAACCAGATAATGGAAGCATCCAGGTCTGGGACCTCCGCCTACGCTCCCAGCTACCCCTCAGCTGGGTAAGATGTTAGAAATTTCTATTATTACCTGAGTGGTCCGTCGTTCTCGCCTAATTTCTGCTGTTGCGGGACCACCATCACCAAGCTGACGATGCATTTCCAGTGCGCCTCCACCAGATCGAGCATCGTAAATTGTGCTTCCCATGAAGCGCTGCTGTTCATCAACAGAAATATTCTGTGAGGCAGCAGGCATTTCTCTTGAATCAACGTGAACTGGTACGGGTGATGGCACATTGTCATAGAAGCTTCCGCGTTGTACTCGACGAATCAGTGGCTGCGGTACACCATCAGCAGAAAATTCATCCTTACGTCCACTGCAAAAATTTCCATTATAGCGGCAAAACAGAGCCACACATAAATTAATACGCATAACTTCTACGCGATGATACTTCAAACAATCAACCGACGTCTCATCGCAACGCATATTCGCATTATCGCTACATCTAGTAATTCTGCCATTTATTTGCCTGCTTTCTTTCTACATTCTTTCAGCATATAACTGCTCCGTGAATTGTCGACCC